GGGCTCGATCCCAGGACCCTGGGATCACGACCCGAGCCGAAGGCAGACGCTTAACGACTGAGCCACCCAGGCGCCCCGAGAATTTCATTTTTAATAGGACAGCTTTATTGAGATGGCCTTCACATATAATCTGTTTAAAATGTATAATTTCATGTTTTCTTTAGTATACTCACAAAATTGCACAACCATCACCACAATCGACTTTAGAACATTTTCATCACCCCAAAAGGAAACCTGTCCCCATTAACAGCCACTCCCTATTCCTCTCCACCCGAACCCGAGACAACCACTCATCCACTTCGAGTCTCTGTTGAATAAATGGAATCATAAGATTTGTGGTCTTGTGTGTCTGGCTTCTTTCACTTAGTATAATGTTTTCAAGGGTCATTCATGTTGTTGAATGGATCAGTACGTCATTCTTTTTATGGCTGAATGATACTCCCCTGTATAAATACCAAATTTCCTTTATCCACTAATCAGATGAAGGACATCTGGATTGTTCCCGCCTTTTGATTATTACAAACAATGCTGCTATGAACGTTCATGTACACGTTTTTGTGATGTTTTCATTTCTCTTGGCTATATACCTAGGAGAATCACAGGGTCGTATAGTAGCTCTGCATATAACCTCTTGAGGAACTGCCAGACTGTTTTCCAAAGCAGCTGCACCATTTGTACGTTTCCACCTGCAACGGATGAGGGGTCCAGTTTCTTCACCAACACTTGTTGTTTTGTTTTGTTTTGTTTTTAAATTATAGCCACGCCAGTGGTTGTTAAGAGGTAGATCATGGTGGTTTTTTTTTTTTTAATGTTTTATTTATTCATGAGAGTCAGAGAGAGAGAGAGAAGCAGAGGCAGAGGGAGAAGCAGGCTCCCCGCCTAGCAGGGAGCCCGATGCGGGACTCGATCCCAGGACCCTGGGATCATGACCTGAGCCGAAGGCAGATGCTAAACCATCTGAGCCACCCAGGAGACCCTATCATGGTGGTTTTAATTCGCATTTCCCTAATTTTAATAATGTTCAGCATATTTTCAATATGCTTATTGACCATGTATATGTATTTGGAGAAATGTCTATTCAAATATTTGGCCCATTTCTAAATTGGACGATTTCTCTTTTTCTTATTGAATTGTGAGAGTTCTTTATATATTCTGGATGCAAGTCCCATATCAAATATTAGACTAGCAAATATTTCCTCCCATCCCATGGGTTGTCTTTATTACTTTATCGATGGGGCCCACCGAAGCACAGAGGTTTCTAATGTTGACTGAAAGCCAATTTACCCATTTTTCTTACATTACTTGTGCTTCTGATGTCATATCATGGAGGCTTTAAGTAACTTGAGGTCACAAAGACTTACTCCTATATATTCTTTTAAGCATTTTATACCTTTAGCTCTTATATTTAGGTCTATGATTCATTTGGGTTAATTTTTGAATGTGGTATGAAGAAGGAGTCCAATTCCATTCTTTTGCAGGTGGCAATTCAGCCATTCCAGAACCATCTGTTAAAAGGACTACTCTTTCCCTGAATTGCCTTCATACCCTTTCCAAAAACCGGTTGGCCATACGCTGAGGGCCTATTTCTGGACTCTCGGTTCTGTCCCCCTAATCCATACGTCTATCCTTATGCCAGTGCCATGCCGTCTCGATAACTGCAACTTCGTAGTAACTTTTGAAACTGCAAAGTGTGGGTTCTTCAACTTCATCCTTCTTTTTGTTTTGGCTCTTCTGGGCCCCTTGCATTTCCATATGAATTTTAGGATCCCCTCACCAATTTTTGCCAAGAAGCCAGCTGCAGTTTGGATGGAGACTAGCTGTATCTGTAAATCAATTTGGGGAGTACCGCCATCTTAACAATATGGCGCTGTCTGGTCCACAGACATGAGTGTCCTTCCACATGTTTAGATCTTTTCATTTCCTTTACTGTACAGTTTTCAAAGAATCTGTTTTACATAGAAGGCAAGTTTTTAAGGGACGTCACCTAGTTGCTGCCACTTACACACGAATGAAGAAGTGGGCCGAGAACACAGACAGTCCTGATTAAAAAGACAGGGAGGAGATTAGATTCAGCCACCTCACCAGAAGAGGGTCATCAAGTGCATTTCCACACAGTCTGTGGCATATTTTTTTATCCCAGTGAAGACTCAGAATGCTGGTCCTCATCCTGGCTGCACGTTAGAATCATCTAGGAAGTTTATGGAAATCATGATGCCCAGGCTACACCTGAGGCCAGTTACATCAGAATCTCATGGGTGGTACCCAGTCGTATTTTTATATTTATTTATTTATTTATTTTTATTTATTATTATTTGATAGAGAGAGAGAGAGCACAAGCAGGGGGAGCTGCAGGCAGAGGGAGAAGGAGACTCCCCGCTGAGCAGGGAGCCTGACACGGGACTTGATCCCAGGACCCTGGGATCATGACCTGAGCTGAAGGCAGACGCTCAACAGACTGAGCCACCCAGGCGCCCCACCCAGTGGTATTTTTAAATAAGAAGCTGAGGTGACAACCACTGGCTAACGTAATGATAACAAATTTCAGTGAAGTTTTACATTTTATTTATTTGTATTTCTTTATGAGTTATGTATGTTCTACCTTATTCTAGAAAGGAATTAAGCAGACTGATAAGAATATATAAACTAGGGGCGCCTGGGTGGCTCAGTCGTTAGGCGTCTGCCTTTGGCT